GAGAATAGGCGGGAGTTTCACAATACATATTTAACACTATAGGCTATACATATTTCTAAATATAAACTTAATCCAAACAAACGATGTTATTAAAATAAATATTTAATACAGAGCTATGAGCTAAAAGTTTGTACGTGGGGGGTGGGGGGGATATCTCGGAGAAATTCTGTGAGCCAGTATGCCGCGGCTAAAAATATAAACGTAGTAGACAACGTTTTGAAAGTCTTTTTGTCTTCAAGTTCAAGAACTGAAGACTTTTTGAACGTCGTCCTCTATACTTTTCTTTTTTTTCTGCAATAGGCAGTTGAGGCTAGTTCCAGTGTACTCGTCATGGATACTTTGCCTAAACAATCTATCAAACAATACTTGACCTTGTCTACGAAGCGACAACTAATGCGTTACTTACACGTGTGTATGGCTTGCTAACAAGGTTGGTGAGTCGGGCAAGACCAGGGATTAGGGAATCTGAGTGTTCATGGCTCGCTGAATGTTGTCGCAAAAATGCGTTCCCACATTTTGGGACCTTGGATGCGTTATAAGAGTGGCATTATTCGGTCAGAAAAACATAGTTCAAGAGTTGGAAGTGCTTTTGATAAGTTGACTTTCATCTAGTCTATCAATTCAAAAGTAGGCTCTGCTAATTATCGTGTACTCATGCGCAAAATTATGAAAAACAACAACAAACAAAACCATTCAACGACAATATATTTTAAATTCTCCTTTCAGTTTTTTTATTTAACTCAAAACACGTTAATGTGAATATCACGAATATGAAAAATTTGTAATTTTAATACACTTCAAGTAAACCTTTTGACATTATTATGGTTGCTAATTGTGACTTACCAATTGCTTATATGAAAACAATTATATGATTAAATTAATAATTATTTTTATTCTGATACTCTTGTGTTTCGCGGAATAGTGAATCACTTTTTTCCTATGCTGAAAGACGATAAAGTTATTGTACGCGTGAAGTTGTTTGGTGTACACATCAAGGAAGTTTGGTTTAACGATTTACAATCATTAAACATCCTAATGATGTTGTAATCATATTCTCTTGACTTTATTAGAAATTTACCAATTCTTCATGACTGAATTTGCTCGTGGCCGTGAAGGAAGATGTAATATAGAGGTGACAGCTGCTCCATGTGCAAAGCCGATATCTGGAAAAACTATAAGACAGTTTCTGAAAGCAGACATCACGAAATGTTTTTACACGTATCCGGTAAGTTAGCTGTCTCTATGTGTACCTCTGTATGTATGTCTATATATATCTTTAAGTAGAAAAATACGAAGGTGATAAAATAAAGAAATTAGATTTTTTGGGAAAAAATCATCTTTTAAAATCTATGGTAGTAATTTATTTATTTGGCTAAGTTTCGAGTAAACGCCCTTTTTCAAGCTAGTACCAAACTGTCGGTTAACAACAGTTACAGGAACGTTTTGAAATGAAACAATACACGACTACTGAATATAACGCGAGACCGAACCACGAGAATCTAAATAGATATAATAGTACTGTCTGTTGTCTACCACTACCTTACCTATGGTGCATACATAGAGCTTGAATTCCTTAGGTTAAAACAGTGCTCTATGGTGCAGACATAGAGCTTGAATTCCTTAGGTTAAAACAGTGCTCTATGGTGCAGACATAGAGCTTGAATTCCTTAGGTTAAAACAGTGTTCTATGGTGCAGACATAGAGCTTGAATTCCTTAGGTTAAAACATTGCTCTATGGTTCAGACATAGAGCTTGAATTATTTTGGTTAAAACAGTGATCTAAATATTTGTAGTGTCATCTAAACCATAAAGTCAAATTGTACTACATTGCAGTTAATCCGATATAACATTTATGTAGACTGTGAACATATTGTGTCAAAATGAAAGAACGTTTATGTATGTGATTGTGATCTATATCTAGATCTACATCTAGCGATTGAAAGTTGACACGAAGGACATTATAATAAACGTGTGTGTATGTATGTGTGTGTGTGTGTGTATATA